TATAGAGGAAGACTTGCGTCCATCGACACCGGATATGCAAACTCCAGTACTGACGCCCAAACTCCCTACTCTTGGGGTAAGTCGTCTGCCAAAGACGGCGATATGATTTAACGAACCTTGATAGCTCAACAGCCCAGGAACGGGGAGATATGGCGACCTTATCCAAGCTCTCAATTTGCTAAGCCCCTACCCTCCAACCATGAATGCATCAAGGGCCCATTATCCAAACTCGACACCGTCTCCTTTGCTTCCGACCATACCAACAATCATGGTCACCGCTCCTAGTTCTGAGCAAGCAACACCCATGACTGGGAACCTCCAGTTTGAGGAAGCTTTGGGTCCCTTGACCCTTCATTACTCCCCGCGCCCAAGGGGATGGCTGGAACAACGCGCCCAGATGCCAGTTGGGCCGAGGGAGGAGACTGGGGACGGCTTCGATAGCGATGATAGCCAGTATGACGACGAAGATGACGACGATGTGGCATTGAGCCATGTCAAAAGGTCTCTTCAAGAAGCTCGCCACCCTAAACTTGGGCTCAAGGGACGGGTTGTCGAGTTATTCAGGATGCGTCGCTGACTTGGTGTTGCTGTTTTCATCTATCCGATTATTGAGCCAATACAATGCTATAATGAGCTGCTATACTTCTTTACCAAAGAAGAACGCCGGCAACCCGAAGCCAAGGGAACCTTCCAACGTTAAGTTGAAGTCCCCCGAGGTTAAGAAGGCAACCAAAAGCAACAAAAAACAAGCCAAAAAAAACAACCAACCCGGAAAACCCAACCAAAAAGGGAAAAAAACAAAGCCAAAAAAGGCCTTTAACCCAAGGTAAGGATGTTTCTACAATGAAGAGGGTTCATAATGTCGAAGAATATATAGCTGGAATGAGAGTGTATGCTTGGAAATGAGATGAGGGAGTGATTTGTCCAATAAGATAACGAAGAAAAGGAATGTGGCCAGTTTTTCCTGTACCTGAGGTGTCCATAGTTGTAGAAAATAGGAGAAATACCGTTCCACACGGGTCCCAAAGTCCACTATTGTTCACTGATGCTGAGATTCGGTATAGAAGGTGAGTGATCAAGGTTGTCTGAAAAAGCAGTTTCATCGAATGAGTGGGATGCATCGTCCTCATTCGGCCCATCGAGGGGAATCTGCCGAGAATATTTGTAGCCCACAAAGTTCATGACGCTATCAAAGTTCTCAATAAGAGGTTTGGTAACGGTGCTCTACTTACTAGATGGTGCCATCCGCACAACCGACAACCACATCCTCGTGGCTGAGAGCAAATGACATTGGGTTCATAGTAGGGGTCGCAAGGCCTTTAAACTTGGCAGGGAAGCCACCAGTGACACCTTCTACACCCATAGGTGGTTCCTCGCATGTCGCCAAAGCGCCCCACACTCCGGTAAGCGGATCGACCTCGGTCGCAAAGTCGACAGGGTATTTAATCTTGGGTTTTCGCACCCCATCCACAAAGCTCGAGTTACTGACGGCGCTTATAGCACTGTGAACCGTGCTGACGCTGCTACGCCTGCTGTGTCCGAGGATGGGTGTATCAGGGTCTGTTTCCGTAGGAGTCATGGAGGAGTCACTCTCTTCGACCCGCTCTTCATTGCCGTCTTCAGTAGACGATCCCTTCACAGCTGCCTTGTCTCTATGTGTTGACACGAAAATCTGAGGAATTGTCAGCTTTAAATTGTATTCATTTTGGTGAGTGGCTTACCCTACGATCAGCTCCCGTTCGAAGCGCAAAGCGCGTAGCTGTGACTACTCTTCGCTTTCTAGGATCCACGGCGCCGACAGCAATGTCTGGGGTTTCAATCACAGCAATGATCCTGGGTGGAGCCGTTAACCCATTGGAGCCTCTCCTGACGGGGACGACCAATTGGTTAGGAGCTCCAGCTGACGGAGTCCTTGGAATGTTTTTCATAGAGACTGGTGGCATGCTAGGGTTGCGAGCTCCAGGGGTAGTGGGTACGCTGAGCCGAGGAGTTGTTGTGGTGCGTCTAAGTGCTGGGCTGCCAGGGCTCGAGTTGATGGTTCCGCCTGAAGACTTGAGGGCAGATACGTTTCTGGAACGTGGAGTTGAGGGTATTTGGGTTGTCGGTGTGCGTGGTCCACTTGAAGTTGTGGGAGAGGAAAGAGCGGATGTGGTTACACCTGTGGGGGATTCTCCCTCTTCTACCCATTCCAAATGAAGAATGATCGATTTCGTAGCGCACTAAGGAGAAATTAAGTAACATTATAACGAAAAAATTACCCTTACGAACAGTCATTTGATTGCCTTCTGCGGCAAACCATCTATAATCAAGTCAGCGACGAGACAGATTGTACATGCACTAAACTTACGCCAACGTGTTTACGCCAATTCCAACCCCCGCAATCTTCGCACTAAGCACGGGATCGCCGACTCCCAAATGGGCCAAGTTGAACTGAGAGATCATTTCACGTCGTTCTGAACAAAGATCAGGATTCTGTGATAGAAACATCTGACCAAACTTACTAATGGAAAACACGCGCACTACGCCATCGATGGTGACGCTAACGAAGCGCTCGCCAACATCATCAGCCACACGTCCCGATCCAGAACGGAGGATTTGCACTCCAATGTTCGTATTGGTTTGCTGACCAAACTTGACAATCTTGTCCCCAGACCGCCAATCCCAGCAGACCAAGGCCTTGTCGGCACCTGCGGAGACGAGGTACTTGCTTGAGAGGGCGAGAGCCTTGATTCCGTAAAGATGTCCTTGGAGCGTTTGCAACGGCTCAAAAGTGAGCGACGAAAATAGAAGAACGCGGCTGGAAAAGTGCTTTAGCATTTGCTTTACGAAGTGACGACGTTCTTACCCAATATCGTGAAAGCCTACAGCAAACACCTCTTCTTCCGCCAGGAAATCGAGGCAACTGACTGCTTTCTGGACACGCAAGCATTTCTTCTCCTCGCCAGTATCAATATCCCAAACTCGGATCGTCTCGTCGTAGCTACCACTGAAAAGCCGTTTGCCCTTGAGAAGCAGCGTAGTACAATAACCCGTATGCCCATTTAGGAAACGGAGATGTTGTGGAAGCGCGTGCTTCCAGTTTGCCTCACGATGATGTAGTGATCGGTACAGTGGCTCCCTATAATTTTTTCGTCAGTTGACTGATTACCCCAATTGACGCGCGCATACCAGTCTTCTGGCTTGGCTGGCGGCCGAAGTGGCACTGGGTCCGTTTGGGTGAGAACGAGACAGTGATGTCTCCAGAGTGCCGGCTGATGGACCAAGTCTTTCCATTTTCGTGAAACCGGCTCGACACTCAAAAGTTCGGCAACGGTTAGGGAGCGCAAGATGGCCAACGCAATACCCCTATAAGGAATGTGGGTGAGAAGGAAGACGCCACGGCGGATAAATTTGACATACACTGGCAGATGTGTTAGAATATCAAATGTAGATCGTTGATACTTTTCGAGGAGTCGGATCTGTTGAGAGATATCACCGGGAATACAGCCTATTGAGGAGGAAGTCAATGACACGAGAAGCGCCCAATCGAGAGCCCGTACAGTCAAGGATGATCCCGATTCTACAAACAGTATTCAATAAGATGTTTCCCAAATTAGATGGAATCAGGAGTGCTTACAATCGCATTCTTTCCGCCATCGGGAGGCCGCGGACGGCTTTCCTGACTGCGGACTCGTTGAAGTTTCCACTGCCATCGCCCCGTAAGGCGTCAACAAGGGTCACGCCCTCTTCTGATTTTGCAGTGCTCTGGACCAGATGTGTCAGTGTCATTTGCTGGGCCGTCCCTTACGTGGGGGCACTGACCTTACGAAGCGAGAGACTCAGCCGGTCTCGATCCCTGGCCAATTCGTTTTGGTGATTGATCGCGCGTTCCTTGTCCAAAGTGGCCCGGAGGAGTTTTAGCTCCGCCTGGAGAGCATGCAGTTGGGCGGCAGAATTGGAGTGAGCCTTTTCCAACAAGCGTTTGAAATGCAAGACTTTGCGGGTATGAGCGGTATGAACGGCGTCGATCGCGTCGGCCAAATCTTCGTCTACGTCGTCATGCTCCATAATCTCCGTCTCCATCCCAAACGACGCCGTATTGCCGTCCCCTTCCCAAACCGAACCTGTAGCACTCGGCGGAAGGTTTGGGTCGGCCATGAGTTGGAACATGGAGCCCACCCCGTTTTGGTTGATCTCTCCATTTAATTCGCCGCTGTGACTATGGAGAGAGCCTCGGGAGGACCAGGGTACGGTGTTGGTGTAGGACGGCTGACGGGGGATACCCGTACGCTGCTGTGGCGCGTCTGTAGTTTCGTCCAATAATGAAGGATACGAGTGCGTGCTGTCCATTGTGAGATCTTCAAGCGTGAGGGCCGTGCTCCCTTGCGTCACCGTCGCGCCGCGAGGTCGACTGTTTCCGTTTATGACGTGAGGACCACCATTCGCACCCGTTTGGGGCGGTCGAGCACTCCGAACAGCACTGACAACAGAGCTTTCTAAAGAATCAGGGATGTTAACGGGAGCGGACGGTCTGGCTGGGATATTAGACTGCCGATTATTATTCGCGGGCGGCGGAGGAGCAGACACTCTTCTAAATGCGACGGGAGGATGAAGAGGACCGTTTCTTTTTGGATTATTGTTCAAAAGGTTTGCGTTTGTCGCCGTCGGCGTCTTTGGCTCGTCGATGCTGTCTTGTGCCGCGTGCCTACTCGCTGTGGGCATCGCTGACGAGGTCCCGTTTGTTGGAGACTTGAGAGAGAGCGTCGAGTTTGTGGTCGAGCGTAACCTCCGCAGCCCAGGTTTCTCATCTCCTGAAGCTGCACGCATCGGGCCAATGTCCAAAATGCAACTCTATTCAGTCTCAAAACAGGTCCACCCGTGGGGGTAGTGGAAAATGACCATCATTTTACAGATTATACAATAAAACAATAAATTTGACATGAAAAAGAGCGAATATCCGCCTCTCCTCACCTGAGACATGCTGGATATGCACGCGACTGGCGGACCCAGCCAGCAAAAAACGACGTCGGCAGGATTCGAACCTGCGAACCTAAAGGAAATGGCTGACTAGGAAATAGCAGGCCACCGCGGTAACCACTGCGCCACGACGTCAGGATATATCATGAGATCAAGAAGCTCATTGAGTCAAAAAAGGCCAACGCTGCCTCACCGAAGATGAATGTATAATAGTGAATTCTCATTATCAGAGTGCTTACAAGAGGATTTGCGTCGGACCAACTCCAACTAATGAGTGTAAACCCCCATGGCATCCTTCACCTTCAGGCGACTATTACGCAAAGCGAGCAATGCTGATTACAATGTCCAAATGTGAGTATATGCGTTGAGTAGGTCGGTCGAGCTAACAATTCCAACCAACTATAGAAATGCAAACGCGACTGGGACAGGGAGACTTGGATACCCTGTACGCCTAGCAAGGTCATACTATTATATACCAGAGCCGTTATGACGACCCAGAATCATTCCAAGTAAAGGTCAAATAAGGTCGAAAGGAACAACTAGGGGAGACCTAGCTCGAAACCCCCGGGACGATGTCCGGGCTGGCTTCGATCTATTGTGAGCAAGATCACGTCGTAGGAACGGATTCTGGCAAAGCAATCATGAACATTTCTTCCCTTTGTTTGCATGCGGTTATAAAAGCTACTCGAGAGCAGGAAACAAAAAGTTTGTACTTGAAACGACAATATCCTGACTACATATCTTCGAAGAGTGATCAGATTGTATAGTCATGGTCAATTGAGTTTACACCGCGCACGGAAACTTAAGCCTGACCTTTCATCGACAATGACGGCAGGTGCAAGCTTATCCCACCAAACCGACCCAAAAAGGAAAGAAAATATCTTTTGGATGCGATTTCATGCGTTAGCAACCCCATCAGACCCTTGAACGGTTTTCTGGGTCTCTGCCCACTCATTCGCCTCTGCGTGCATGGCCATTGTCGGGTTGAAAGTACCACAGGGAACCTGTGCGAATGTTGCAGGTATGTTTTTGTCTCGCTCTGAGCGTTACCCCGTGCTGATCGCGGTTTGCCATAGGGCTCCAACACACTTATACCTTCGTAGAGCTTGATAACTAGGAAGCAATAGTGTCGAATTTCTTGTGAGTTATAAAATTTTACTAATTCATTTTTACTAAACAAGAAGGTTGGTTGGCCAGCCATCCTGTGCCAGCCAATGACCGTGGCCCCCACTTGATGTCAGTTCATCTCACCGTATAACCGCTCCTTGTCCTTCGTAAGTCATTATCTCCGTCCGTGTGGCCAGATAGCGAGTCTGTCGAACACGAGTATACACACCCAACTACCTACTTTGGGTCACCTTGGTGTCCGCTTCTCTTGTCGTTGATAGCCACGTTCATGTATTAATAGCATTTCATATCACATTTTTTCACGTTAAGTTTGCCCAAAGCAGACTCGATGGTTGATGCATAGCCCAGATGTAGCTTATCGGTGAGGTTTTGTTGCCGACGAAGCACTATACAACAACATGACTGAATTAAGATGAACATCGCCTCGAACAGAATCCGACGCGAAACAGACCAGATATAAGTCTACTGCAATAGTGCCTGTCAACGTCAGTATATTAGAATGTCGCTTCTGCTTATGATGGAATACGTTAATTGGGATGATCTCCGCTCCTGCGACGTTTATACGGAGTACAAGTTAGTAAGCATCTCGGATTTACTGTAAGGCTCGTCGCGGCCTGGTGAAGCTCTCTAAATACTCAGTAAATTTGCTATATTATTGACATCATGCTTTAGTAATTCTCCATTTTTCCATGAATTTATTGAGCAGAGGGAGGGCCCCAGCAAATTTTGCCATACCCGATATGGAAATCCAATTTGAACTTGGATTGGCCATCATTTTCGGGAACAGCTGTAAATATGTGTAAACCTAAGATACGGCCTCAACATTCCCAATACACATTTTGAAATTTGACAAATGAACACGAACATAGCTGATATCCCAGAAGAGAGAAAGGTCGATTGTTAAATGGCATATGATATCGTAGAAGTCAAAGAAGAAACCGATTGCGAAACGACAGAGCCTACCCAAGAAAGTATTCCTCTTTGCGCATTATCTTTGGCGCCACTATCGAGCAGAATCTGAACTATTTGTGCATGTCCTCTAACCGAAGCTGCCTGGAGCGCATTTCCATAGTATCCTCCTTGTGCATTGGCATCAGCGCC